TATATGAATAGGTCTATTATAATAGGACAGGTGAAACGTTTCAATGTAATCAGATAGTACTACATGAGGTAAAGAGTATATAGGTAATGCTAAAGTTTGACCACATGCATCTAATGTACGAAGGGATGATTGATCAATTGTTCTAGCATTGTGAGAAGGTTGTTCAAATACTTGTATTTTAATGATCCATTTTTCTGGAAGATAGTTGTGAAAGAATTCATCGAATGCCCACGGAAGAGTATACCACATATGATGATGATATCGACGTCCACGACTCTATAAATATAAAGAACATAAGTTTTCTATTATCTGCATATTTCATTTAAAAAAAAAGAAAATGCGGAAGAAAATAAAAGTGAACTATAACTTACAAAAGGATCATTATTAGTGAGCCATTTGGATCTACTAGACCAATGTTTAACAACGAAGGTTACACCAATTATTTCTCGTGAATGAAAACGATTACCACGTGGTATATATTGTGTCATTTCAATGTATTGTGGACAATTGATAAGATTAAAAGCGAACTGAACATCAACATGACGATGATCAGTAAAAAGTGGTGATGAACCAATATGATTTAAATCATTCATATCAATAAAAAGGGACATATTAAGACGTCGAAGAACAGGCATAACATTCGAAGATGTCAGCATTTCGAAAATTCTCCATTTAGTTGTTAACTCCGAGAAAAATGTTTGAACAAAAGTAAATGTATGTAAATGAATCATTTGAATCAATAGATTAAATGTCGATATAACAGAATTAGCGTCACCTACATGAACATGTAATTGACGTAATGTGTCGTAGAGTGGTGGTGTTGATATAAGACGAACCAGTGTATCCACACACGGTAAATCAATACGCAAATAAGTAAGTGGAACTACTGCAGTAGTGATAGGCCAGCATGTTCCATAATTATTCATGCCCAAATCAAGTGATTTAAGTGCAGGCAAACGGATAAAAAGAATATTTTTTATTAACGTCGCAATATACGCTATTGTATATTCGGAATTAATTGTAAAACCATCCTGAAAACAGTATACAAATATCAGTGAATTATGAATGAAGGACAATATTAACTAATATTTTTAATCGTCAGATTCGAAGCAGTAGTGCTTCGATTTAAAAAGAGATCGATAAAGTTTAGGTTCTACTCAACTAAAATCATTATTAACAATTAATATTAGATCTTTTGGAAGTTTACTAATTCATAGATGAAAATCTTCAGACTCTTGAAACAATTCTCATTCTATTATATATAGGTATGTAACGAAACCTATTTTATTTAATATTTTATCTCATGAAAATTTTCAATTTCATTAGTTTTGAAAGTACAAATGTTTACAATAGTTGTTCAAATAAAATACTTTTCGATACATTCTTTTTCTAGTGAGAACTCATTCGACGTAATAGAACTGCTTTGGAACGATCTTGTCTTCTGAATGAAAAAAATCTATTTTATATTTCAATGTATTAATAGAACAATATACTTTATATTGAACTCGATATTTTTTTTTTATTATTTCAATTGAATCTGACACTCTGTTGAATGAAACTTGTCGTTATTTCTATACAATTTTTTCTTCTCACATATTATATTCAAATTGTGAATCGTTTGAAATTTTCAAATAATGATAAGAATTCATCTTTTACATAATTCAACCACACAGTCTATTTCTTCTTTCTAAAAATATTCTAAGAAGATTTTTAAAGGAGGTCAGTATCTCAGAATTTGCAATTCTTTCTTCAATAATCTTAATTCTTTATATAGTTCTAAACGTATTAAAACAAACTCTCCTATACTTACTGGAATCAGTCTTTCATTTGATTTGATGATAAGATGAGTAAGTGTAGTGGCATGACGCAAAAGAAAGATCGAAAGATCCTCATGATCGTACACACCAACGATACGCAGAGTTCTCAAACGAGACAAATAAGGCCAATGAGTTAACTGAAGTGGAGATGCATCACTATCTATTGCAAGTGATTCAATATTACTCAATGGAAGAAAACGAAGTATTGTATTAAATTGATGATAATGTGCAAGTGATAAGTTAACATGATGAAAGAAACATCGTTCATTTATTAACATTGTCAGACGATTATTAAGACGAGTAAATCCCCATAGTATGTCGATAGATGACAGATATGAGAAGAGCTCGATTAGTACTAGATCGGATAGATCGTCGAAACATGTAAACAAAGCCATATAACAGAATAAACGATTATCTCTGCATTGACTTTTAACAGCTATACTCTCTTTCTTTATATTCATTGCCAGACAATTTTTTTCATTTCTTTATATTATTCGTTCAAATAAAGAATGACAATATATGTTGAATATGAACGTTACCACGGAGATAGTGACGAATGAATAAATTTTCCCGTCTTTGTTTTTTGTTCTATCACATCGGACATATTTCATTTTGCAACAATTATTCAACAGTTGAATTTTTATAAAATTCGGATAAAATCTTCAAGTTCAAACTAAAATGTATTCATATTTTTAATAAATATGTGCTTAATATACCTTCTAGTCCTAGTTATAGAGTATCATTTACATACTCTGACCTGATACAATATAATGTGATGTAAAATCATCGAAATAAAAAGACAGAAAAATGAAACAAAATGATTTAGACTTTAATGTGAAATACGTTCAAATAGGAGAACAGAAAATCTCTATTCGAAAAGAAATCGAATCATTTATTTATTGAATTTGGATTTGAACCCTGATGTTGATTAATTTCATGTTTTTGTTTAAGTTGTATATTTTCGATCATATTCTGAATGATACTTTGTTTTTTTTCAACCAGTTACAACAGGAATGTGCTTCAAAGAAAAACAGAGAGGTGTAAAACATTCTTTTTCTATTTTATGATCTTTTTTTTCAATAAAATGCACGATTTTCGCTGAGAGAAACTGAACATTTTCTAAATGTGGATGGGTGCGCACCTCTTGTACCCCATAGACTGCACATCCCTGAGTTACAAAAGCATGTTTTGTACGGACTCAGAAAAAAAGACCATTGTTGCATGGAATTAGAAAACATCAAAAATTATTTTTGTAATAAATTGTCGTACGATAACGAAAAAAATATTGATAAATTCAAGTTAAATTGAAAATCAATTTAATTTTTTAAATTTATTTTTCGATTTATTTAAATTTTGCTAAATGTAAGTTGATTATTCATAATTCGGATTTCGGCACATGAATATTCAACTATCCTTCACTACCATTATATGTCAATAGATACTTTTATGGTCTGTTATTTTCGCCGGATTTTTGCCAGTTTGGCTGTAAAATTCATCCGGCCGATTGCTGGTCGGACCGGACCGGATAGAAAAAACCTGTCCGGTTCCAACTCTGCCTGATTGTATTTGTCAGTGTAATGTGAATACACATACTAACTGAGCTTATAGTTATATTGTTTTGTTTGTAGTAAGACACTCCAACAAAATCATGAATTCTCGCAGCATATGTCGTTCCTTTTTTCATCGAGGAGCACCGTTCGTCAGCATGAATGCGTGACTTTTGTTTAAATAAGAGATCGTGCAGCGACAGCAAGCCATATTTCAAAGAAATGGCAACATCTTATTTTTGTTTCTGTAAGAAACTGACTAATGCAAATAGGTGTCAGTCTTATTGTACTGCTGCCATTTTTTTTATTTACTCGCATGCTGTCGCTGCGTGATTTCTTGCTCAAACAAAGTCAAACATTCATGTTGACGAACGGGGATCCCCCGATCAAACAAGAGAACGATGTATGATGTGAGAATTCATGATTTTATTTGAATGACCTACCCGAAAAGAAACAACATTTCTGTTTTGCATTCTTTCAACGCCCCTCCTCCTCATTTGTGTCTGGAACGAGTTACTCTCGAATAGAAAACATATATAAATAAGCTCAGTTAGTGTGTGCATTCACATTACATTGTCAAATACAATCGAGTTTTTCATGTCTTTTATGTATTGCTCGCTCTATTTGCTACTCATCAGCTTGATTAGCTCATCATCGACAGGCAATGTTCTTCCACGGGACTCTGTCTTATTTGTCAATACTCAAATGTTACTTGAAAGTCTTTAGCTAAACCAAACGTTCTGAATTTGGGAGGTACGTTAACAGGCAGAACATCACTAGCTCTATATACATGATCACTTACTGGCACTCTCTTTGGATCAGGCTACAACACACTGGTTCCTCATGGCATTTCTATCGACAAGCTACTCACGTTCTCCGTACTTGTAAATACTACAACTGGATTTTATCCACCCAACTACTCTTATGCGAGTGCCTACAATTTTTTCGAATACAAAAAATGTCGATTGTAAATTTGTCGAAAAAAAATTTGTCGATTCGACAAAATTTAAATCGAAATTTGTTGAATTCGACAAATTTTATTAAAAAATGTCGATTATGGTATTGTCAAGCTTCGTTTCGATGAATTTCAAATTCAATTATAATCACCTAAAATCTGACTTAAAATCAAGTTGGAATCAAGTTGAAATTATGTTGAAATCATGTTGAAACCAAGTTGGAATCACGTTGAAATCAAGTTGAAATCATGTTGAAATCATGTTGAACTGAAGTTGATTTCAAGTTAATTCCAAGTTGATTCCAACTCGATTTCAACATGATTTCAACTTGATTCCAACTTGACTTCAAGTCAGATGTTAGGTGATTATAACTGAATTCGAAATTCATCGAAACGAAGCTTGACAATACCATAACCGACATTTTTTGATAAGATTTGTCGACTTCGACAGATCTGAATTTCAATTTTGTCGAATCGACAAATGTTTTTTCGATAAATTTTATCGACAAATTTGCAATCGACATTTTTGTATTAGACAAAATTGATGTTTCCCGTATTTTCTTACTTTTTGAAGGTGTATCGTAGAGTTGATGGTTTTATTCTAACGCATGCAACAGTTGGTATTCTTTCTTTCAATGGCT